CGTAGCTATGATCGTAAGCTCCTCCACTTGTCCCTGCAGTAGAATTCAAGAAGAGCTCCACATATCTGTGCTGCATGTTAGCTTTATCTTTTGCCATAGCTGCCACGGCATCTTCATGAGTAGCAAACTCAACATCCGCCTCGCCTGTAACTCTGCCATCAGGTCCTATTTCAATGTGTACTCTCATGGGATTGAGAGGTGAGAAGAAATTGTAAATATCATTCTCAGTGGCTCTGTATGGTAAGCCCCTCATGTGTACACAGTGCCCTGTGGTGCTCTGGAAACTGGACCCACCATCTCCGTATCTATGATCAGACATTCCTGAGAAACAGTAGTTTAGGTCTCTTCCAAATCTATCAGACCCAAAGCCATACCCGTCATTATACCCTCCATAGTCATCATAGCCTCCATACCCTCCACCATAGGCACCCCGCCTCATTCTTTCGAACCCAGCTCCTCTGCCAATGCTATTATACCCTCTTCCTGCCCCTGGCCTATCATAAGGACCCGGGCGCTGCATAGTCATGAGCTTTCGAGGCGGATCATAGTGGGTCCGGACTTCAGCTCTGCTACTCTTGAAGATTTCAATGTACCTGTGCCCTATTCTTTCCTTGTGTTTCTTTAAGGCCTTTTCAGCTATCTCCTGCGAAGCAAACTGCACAAAGGCCTCCCCTGTGCTGCGCCCCTGAAAGTCCACCGGCAGTGTCATCCCATTTGGCACAATTTCCAGCCCCGAAAAGAACTGAACAATTTCTTCCTTGCTACAGCCAAATGGGAGTCCTCTAAGCCGTACAAAGCCATCATTGGCAGTATCAGGACTATTTGGACCTGTATGCTTTAACACCCAATCCATTTCAACACTGTTGGACTTGAATACTTCAACATATCTGTGTCCCATGGTTTCTCTGTCTTTCTTTAAAGCCAATTTCACTTCATCTTCAGATTCAAGTTCGACAAACGCTTCACCACTTGGTCTGCCTTCTCTGGTGTAGATGAAACGAACACCTGATGTGCCATTTTGGATTTTGCAATCAGAGAAGAAGCGCATCACTTCCTCGGCTGAGCAGGACCAGGGTAGGCCCCTGACCTTCACCACGAACCCCTCCCTGCCCTCTGTGCTCAGCATCATGGTGACTGGTGGGCTCTTGGTGGCAAGCTTGGCTCAACACAATTTCAATGTGGCTTTAAAAAAATTAGAAAAGTATTGTCATGAAAAATTGTACACAATATACTAAGAGAAACAAAAAAAAAACTGTTATAGAAGCTCACATCAGTAACTTCAAAAGATAGCCACATGAACAAAAAGACTGCAAAAACTTTTAATTCATTCAATTAACAATTTCTTATTCCATTTCTATATGCATATATCCGGTATAATGAATAGTGATTATTTCTTGGTAGCAGTACTATAAGACTTGCTTCCATGGATATATACACAGAATATATTAGTACATTTTTGAATATTCTAAATTTTCTGCACTGACCCAATGCATTAACATCATAGAGAGAAAATTAAAATTAAAGATAACAAATAAAACTATCTCATATACAAATAAAAATTTCTATAAATCAAAAGACAAACAAAACTAAGACACAAGGCCATTAATATCTTAAGAATATAAACAATGCATGCAAATCAATAAAATACAGAACTATTAAAGCCTAAGAGAAAAAAATTAATGGGAATTTACACATTCAAGCATCTTTTAGATGCTAGGTCCAATACTCAGTTCTGATGCATAAGAATCAATGAGTCCTGAAAGGGCTTACAGTCCTAAAGGAGAATTGTATGCCTTTTCCAAAGGTAAGTGCAAACAGATAGAATAAGGGAGGATTGGTTGATGAAGTGTTAGCAATTGGAGGCAGAATGGTTAATTGAGTCAAACTATCCTGATCCTATTCAGGGATCCAGAAACAATTTATAACAATTTTTTAATAGAGTACAAAATGGAAGGAGACAGAAATCAAAAGACAGGGCTGCCAAGAAAGAGGTAAGATCCTGAGGGTTCTATTTAATATAAGGAGGCTAGACTCTTGTTTGGTTCACAGGCACGATGATTCAGTATTCACACCACTGTGTGACATATACCTCCCCCAAACCTTAAGACATTGGGACATTACCGCTCTGACGCTGGGTGTGGAGAAGGGAATATATATATAGCACCTTTTATGGATTTTAAACAGGAGTGATGTCATTACAGCCCTTTCAGACTTATCACCCAGGCAACTGGAGCATTCAAACAGAAGGCAGGGGGGCTAGGTGAAAAGAGCAAATTAAAAAATGACCTCTTAGAGATATGTCAAGAGACTCATTTAAACAGTAGCAAAGAGGTAGGGGGAAAATGCTATCTGCCTAAATAAAAAAGTGGAATCTGTAGGGATTGATAAAAAAAAGATTATGGATATTAAGAGTTGCTAGGTGTGGTGGTACTAGGAAGCAGAGGCAGGTGGATTTCTGTGAGTTCAAGGACAACCTGCTCGCTTAGTAAGCTCCAGGAAAGCCAGGCTTGTAGGGTGAGACCCTATCCCAAAACAAACAACAAAAGAGGATATAAGACTGCAGCCAACTAAGAAATACTGCCGTGGGAGAAGAGGGAAGAACATACTAATTAGTCAAAACATGCTAACACCCAATGGTCAGTCCTGAAAACCCGTATACTAGTAACACTCTAGAGGCTGAGCAGGCTGGAGTTGCATATTCAGGAACATGCACACACGCATGAAACTCAGAAAAAGAGGCCACGAATTTGAGAGGAAAAGTGGGGAGGTATTTAAACATGGGAGGGTCTGAAGGGAGAAAAACGATGTAATCATAACTTCAAAAAATTTAAATGCAGCAGAAAAGGAGTATATAGGGAAAACGTCTGGGAAAGCTTCAAACTTCAATCACTGGAAATTAAATTTAAAGTAAAATAAACATTTTTAACACCAATCAAAAACAGTGGAGATTAAACTGTGACTGTGTCAGCATTATTTACAAGCTAGAGTTCTCTAGAAGGATAAAAACTGATAACTAGTCTGGAAAAATATTTTCATAAGATTTATCACACCTTCTGACAGAAAATCCACTTCAGGTATGTGCCTTAAGGAATTATCTGAAATTAAGAGCAGGACTTATTGAACTATATATTGTTTGAAAGGCATTTTAGGGAGAAGAGTGGACCATTATACAGTTAATATAAAGTTATAAAATTTTAAATGAGTCAAGACCAAAGCCATTTTATAACCTCAATTATGTTAAAGTAAAAATTCACATACCCTTTGACCCTGCTAGGGTTTCTTCCAGGAATCTGGTCGACAGAAATACTTAAAACTGTTTGCTGCAGCACTGTAATGGCAGAAAATGAGAAAACTAAATAGCCTTCAACAGAGACGGATGAATTCCAGTTCTACCTTTATACGAATTTCTATGCAACCACTTACGAAAAGACATTTGCGCTTACCTAGAAAGATTTTCAAAATACATTGAATGAATGAATATATACAGTATAAGCCTACTCCGATTACAGTACAAGCACAAAACAAAGTGTATAAACGTGTGAGAGATGATCTGAAAGTAACTTCGTATAAGATAAACTTTGGGACCAAATGGAGGGCAAGGCAGTAGAGGTGGCTTTTCACTTTAATACTACACACTTTCGTAGTTTTAATCCTGTAAGCTCACTGTATTGGAACAAAAGTAATCTTAGAAAAAAAATATAAGCATAGGAAATATGACCAAAAAATTTTAAAACCTTTTTGTGTGCACTGATGGGGACTGGACCTCACATGTTAGCAGTGGCTATTGAGTTTATGCGTTTTTCCCATTTTTTTTTTGTGCATGCCTAACGGTCTGCTGAAAGAATAATTTCACAAAACATCCCAGGGACGACGGTGATTTCTACAGCACTCTGCCTCAATAGGTCCTCCCTTGTGGCTGGGAGGTTGGTTTTGCTTCCTTACATTTCCTGAGAAGGCCACCAGGACTCTGTTACCTAACGTAGTAACCAGGCTTTGTGAGTTAAGAATCTGTGTACTTGTACCTGTGTTAAAGCACACTTTTTGTAACATTAATAAGAGTTGAAAAGTGCTGAATTGTGTCCCTTTTAAACGAATCTATTACTTTTCGAATGACCAAAATTCAACTCGTAGATCGTTATAAGCAGAAAAACAAACGTTCAAAAAATTAAGTAAAAGCATTTATTGGGCGCCTCTCGGGCACGCAGTAGTTGCCCAGCTCACATTCTAAGGGTGGAATTCACTCGGGACCCCTGGGGACCTCTCGCGACCATCGGGCGATTTGAATAGTTGAGCGCCTGAATGGATGGAGCGGTACTCCGACCGCGGGTCTCATTATGTTTTTTGGTTTTTTTTTTCTCCTAACTCCGGGCCGTGTTTTTGAAACGCTTTTTACCTTACGGGTCCCTCTTGCGGGCAGAGGGGGAAAGGTCCCCCGAGATCCGGCCACACGAACTGATTTACAAAAACACGCACACAGTCACGACCGTCCACCATTTCCCCACCAGGCGCAGCGCAGGCCGCTTCCCGGCACTCGGGGAGGGGGAGGGGGGAGGACGCGGGCGGGGGGGGGGGGGGGAGCAGAGCACGAAAAAGGCGGAGGCGACCCCGGATTCCGCTCTGCTCTTTCTTATCACCACCCGGGGTCCCCAGTTGCCACCCACACACCAACCTCCAACGAGACCGGGGGATTTTCCTCCTTCTTCCCTCAAACAGCTATAGCGAGACGATAGACGACGACCAGAACTACTTCTGCTCACGTAAGCGATTGATCACGTGAGTGCCTACGTCATGTGAGATCTCGGTCACGTGAGCAACTCTCGGCTTAAACTCGGGATCACTGTGGTGCCGCACTTCCTCCCGGTTTGGAAATGGGGTGGGTCAAGGTAAAGAGAGCGCCAATCTTATTGGTTAATGTATATCTTACGTGATTGTTCATTGGTCTACCGCTGGCGCTAACCGTCCAGTTGCCGGAGAAACGATGATGTCATTATTAAATAGTTCATCCACGATTGGTCCGCCCCAAGGGTAAACTTAAAGCTGTTAGCTGCAGGAAATTGAACCAAAGAATTCCTGTGACCATGAAGCTTTTTAGCGGAGATCCGCGACTGGTCTGTGAGCTTGCGTTTCGACCCCTGGCTTTAGTTTTTTTGAGCGTTCTTGGGGCCAAAGCACTGGACAATGGCTTGGCGCGTACTCCTACTATGGGCTGGCTGCACTGGGAACGGTTCATGTGCAACCTCGACTGCCAAGAAGAGCCTGATTCCTGCATCAGGTATGAGATATTGAGTGGCCGTTTCTCTTTCCGTGTGTTTTTTTGGGCGTATTTGGTAGAAGGAATGGGAACATTTGAGCTGAAGGAGTAGATCCCCTACTGTTGCTGCTTCTTTATCCCCAACAAAACATCCATCCGGGATCTGGACTGTCCCTAAACTGTGAGCTGCCCTGAGATGAGAGATAGCCAGCAAGCCACTGCTTTGCTCCCGCTCCATCTCTTTCTGCACTGGTAGTTTTTCATATATCGTTTGGTTCCATGCAGACCCTTTGGGTTTGTATTCTGCCCTTGTTTAGTGATAGCCTTGAGCTAGCCATAAGCACAATTGGAATGGGTAGGAGGATGACTAAGACCAATGTCATTTTTTCTTTTTGGATCACGGGTTCTTTGGCTGTACTGAAGCGAGAGTTAGAGAAACCATGAGATCACTGAGATGTCCCTCAACCCCTTTTCCTTGAGTGTGGCATCAGGCTGGAAAGTTGACCTGAAGGAACTTTACACATCAAAGGTGAGAGCTGAGACCTGGTTGAACCTATCTGATGCTCACAATACTAGTTTGCAAATTAGAATAGCATCTTTTTTAACGCAAGGAGCTCACACACACACGCACACACACACCAAAAAAGCTGTAAAATTGCTGAGCGTGGTGACGCAGGACTAATCCCAGCACTCCAAAGGCAGAGACAGACCAGTGTCTTGTTTAAGGTCAACCAGGGCAGCATAGTGAAACCCTGTCTCAAAAAGAAAGACCTTTAAAACGGTTATCTCACACAGATGAACTTTCAGTTAAACCCATTCTAAAAACCTACCACCATTCCTGCTCTGACCCCCCTCAATTAGGCAAATAAAACAGATGTCTTTATCCTGGTATGTATAGAAAACTGAATTGTAAATTTACAAATATATGGGCATTTTTCTAGAGAAGAGGTTTTTTTTTTTTTTGGTTTTTCGAGACAGGGTTTCTCTGTAGCTTTGGAGCCTGTCCTGGAACTTGCATTTGTAGACCAGGCTGGTCTTAAACCCACAGAGATCTGCCTGCCTCTGCCTCCTGAGTGCTGGCAGGATCATCCAGTAGTAAAGGCGTGCATCACTACCGCCCAGCCCCCTTTCTTCAAATTCTTAAGTGAATCTGTGATTTCGAAAAGATTAAGCACCAAGTATTAGGTATTGAGTGGCTTCTTTAACAGTATTATTGAAAACATAAAAAGGTCACCCAGTGGTGCAAAACTGCCTCTAAAGGCAGCTGCCACAACGCCTTCTCTATGTTCACAAGTTATTTCCCTGAATGCCTATAAAGATAAAATCAGGGTGTTGGTCAGACATCATAAAAGAAATTGGCTTTTTAGACTAAGTCTTGTTTTGTTTTTCTTTAATTGGGGACATGGCCACGGACCTTGCACATGCTAGGAAAGTGCTCTATTACTAAGCTGAATTCCTTACCTTTGGATTTGGGGACATGGTCACCCTATGTGGATCAAGCTAGTCTTTTGCCACCACTTCCTGTTCGCTGGAGTTACAGGCATACAAAATCATGCCCAGTTTAATTTTTTCAAATTGGGTTGGGGATGTAGCTCAGTTGGTACAGTGTTTGCCTAGCATGTGCACAGCCATGGCTTTTGATCTCCATCATCTTGTAAATTGAGAATGCTGATGCACATTTAAATTCCACTGTTTAGGAGGTGGAAGCAGGAATATCACAAGTTCAAGTCCATCCTATGCTACACAATACATGTGACCTCAAATGTGCAGAGTATAGTACCTTGATAGATGGAGGTATCTGTATATGCTATAGTTTATTTGTGCAGTCCTCAGTAAGTAGCTACTTGGATTCCTCAATTTTTGTTCATCCTATTCTTATATTACAGGGTTTCTCTGTGTAAGAGCCCTAGCTTTCCTGGAACTAGCTCTTGTAGACCAGGCTGGCTTGTGCCAACATCACCCAGTGGTTGGTTGGTTTTTCAAGACATGGTTTTTCTGTGTAACCTTTTTGGCTGTCCTGGAACTCATTCTGTAGACCAGGCTGATCTTGAACTCTATAATCCACCTGCCTCAGCCTCCCAAGTGCTGGGATTAAAGGCGTGTGCCACCACTGAGGTTGGGTGTGTTTATTGTGAGCCTGGTGGGAATGGTGCACACCTTTAATCAGATACAGAAGCAAATGGATCTCTGGGAGATTTAGGCCAGCCTAGTCTACAGGGCTAGTTCCAGGACAGTCAAAGCTACACAGAGAAATCCTGTCTCGAGAGAGAAAAACAGGAAGGTGATTGTGAAACCTTCTATTCTCTGGGGAAGCTACAAGACTCATGGCATGAGATGGGTGGATCTCTTTCTGAACTTTCAAATAACAGTAATCTTTGTATTCTAATGCCAGGTTACATGCAGTAGCTTCCTTTCTTTTATAGAACATAAGCACTTCATCTTTTAGGTGATCTCTTCAAATCTTTTGCCAAATTCCTTCAAAAGTCTGTTTGGGGTTCAAGGTTTTCTGAGCCAAGAGTAAGATAATGTTTCTCCATTTATTCAAGCCACTAAGGACCATGAGAATTTTAACATATGGTTGATAAACATATTACTCTCTAGATAGCTTGGCCTTTTCTGTTTGTTTTTCTTTCTGTTACTATTGTGAATGAGATTGTTTCCCTGTACACAGAGAAAGCTGATGCAGAAGCTGTCTGTTCTGCTGACTTTTAACCCTGCTGGGGTTATAGTCGGATGTAGGCCAGGCAGGCCTTGGACCTGCAAATCGTCCTGCCACAGTTTCCTCAATAGTCAGCATTTCAAACCTGTGTCACCACAACTTCTTAGCCACAATAACTTTGCAAGTTTTTCATGTGTCTCATTCTTATTTCAATTATTTGGAGGTTTTATTTTGTGGATAGGGATGGAACTGAGGGCCCCACCCCTTGTGTGTGTCCTGGGGCAGAGATCATGGGACGAGAGAGGAGAAACAGGAAAGAGTTAATTTTACCTCGTATGGGTTGTAATTATTACCAGAGTATCACTGCATTTTTAGAAACCCAAATCCCAGGGTGCCTTACACTGGGAGCGTGTGGGTCTTCATCTGATGAACTGCAATGACTATTGGAAATTCTCTTTCAGCGAGCAGCTGTTCATGCAGATGGCAGAGCTCATGGCCTCTGATGGCTGGAAGGACGCAGGTTATGAATACCTCTGCATAGATGACTGCTGGATGGCTCCCGAAAGGGACTCAAAGGGCCGCCTTCAGGCAGATCCCCAGCGCTTTCCTAGTGGGATCAAACACCTAGCTAATTATGTGAGTTTAGAGCGGAATGTTTCTTTTCTGATGGGTCTGTATGCACTTACAAAAGCTTATTGACAGAGGCTGGCGGATCTCTGTGAGTTCGAGGCCAGCCTGGTCTACAAGAGCTCGTTCCAGGACAGGCACCAAAAACTACAGAGAAACCTTGTCTCGAAAATTTAGAAAAAAAAAAAAACCTTATTGAGAAACATGCCACGTGATACTTCAAAATGGTTGCTGTTAGCTGTTCATTATGTTTATCTAGATAGAATTATCACATCAGCATATACACATTTCACAATAGTTCCTGAGCCTGAGGCCTGTCTTGTTGAAACTTTTTTTTTCTGAAACCACTGAATTCTCTAGGAGAAAAGGAGAGCTTGGGTGTGTCGAGCATGCTTGTATTGCTATAGCAGCATGAGAGACTACCACAGTTATACCACTAATGAATTTTAAAAGATGAAAGCAAACATTGCAGAGACTACTGAAGACAGATGAAGCCTGATGTTAGCTAAGGGTCATTAAGTAGATTTTATTCAGGACTGTAGGAAAAATGGTCAAGTTCCAATCCAGATGGGCAAGTGAGAAGCTACAGCTGATGAGCAAATGCTGGGAGTTCAGTAGATGGAAAGCAGCTGGAAAGGAGACATCAAGTCAGGGAATGGTATAACTTAGCAGATTCTTGCATTAAGTAAGCTCACCCAGACAGATGCCTTGGAGTATAGGAGGAGATTCAGAGAGGCTTAACTGAAATGTAGTCAGTCTTTCTCAAGATAAATCTGTTGTCAGGCAGTGGTGGTGCACGCCTTTAATCCAAGCACTCAGGAGACAGGCAGGCAGATGTCTGTGAGTTCAAGGCCAGCCTGGTCTACAGAGAGAGTTCCAGGACAGCCAGAGCTGTTACACAGAGAAACCCTGTTTTGAAAATCTTTTTTAAAAAAGTGATAAAATTTGTTCCAGTTTTGGAAAGACTGTGTGGGATCCCATGAGGAATATTAAAGTGGTCACAGCTTTTTCCTCACTTCTCTGCTCTAGTTCACCGTGATTAGCTGGCACTATCTTAGCAGAGTTAGAGGATTTGTGCTCTGCTTCCAGCTAGCTCAGCTAAAAAACTGGAGTGGTTTAAGGAAGCCCCCAAGCCCTGGGGAAGCCCACAGCTCTCTGCTCTTAGTCTTAGTAAGTTCCCGTCCTGTTTTAGATAACTACTTCCTGATTCATCTTTCTTCTCATTTCAGGTCCACAGCAAAGGGTTGAAGCTAGGAATTTATGCAGATGTTGGGAATAAAACCTGTGCAGGTTTCCCTGGGAGTTTTGGATACTATGACATTGATGCCCAGACATTTGCTGACTGGGGCATCGATCTGCTAAAATTTGATGGTTGTCACTGTGACAGTGTGACATCCTTGGCGGATGGTATGTTTTTTTTCATTACATTTATTTTTTAAATTATGTTACAGTCAACAAAATCAAAATTACGGGGTGTGTGACTGTTTTGTGTGTGGGGGGGGTGCTGTGATGCCTGTTGAAGTCAGGGTGTCGACAACTTGCAGGAATTGGTTCTCTCCAACCTTTTGAGTCCCAGGGATCAAACTCAGGTCATCAGGTTTGCCTGCAAGCACCTTTACTGGCTGAACCATTTTACCAGTCCAAATAGTATGGTTTTTCAAGAAATACAGCCATAATCATTTCTCAGACTTTTGGTTAACATCAGCTGAAAGATGAAGCCACACAGACAAGAACTTGAGGGCCACAGGGAAGCTGGACCTTAAAAGAAATAATCTCGGTCATTTGTTCATACATGGGGAATTCATCCATGCCTAACCATGGCATATATTGTGCACTTCTGATTCAAGGACTCTGAAAATGAATTATAATGAGTAATTATAACTATATCCTACATGCTGCTTTACCTCTGCCTTTCCCTATATCTGCATCCTCTCTACACCACCTCCTCATTGCAATCTCAGCAGAGAGTAGCCTGTCCCTGGTTTACAGTATAGACATGGAGCTTCTGAGTGGCTTTTTTACACGTTCATTCAGCACGATCTGGGAATTCCCTTCCCTCCCTTATTTTACCCAATGTTTTCTCACACAGGTTATAAGTACATGTCCTTGGCCTTGAACAGGACTGGGAGAAGCATTGTGTACTCCTGTGAGTGGCCTCTTTATATGAGACCTTTTCATAAGGTGAGCTTGTGAGCCCAGAATCTAAATTTCAGAATGCTTATCAGCTAAGCTTCTGCTAACCAGGAAACTACCTTTGATTTTTTTTTTTTTTGCCCTTTTATTTCACGGTTCACCAGCAATCCTGCCAATATTTGCCCCAAATTCTATCTTGAATTGCTAACATCTGTCATCCCCACCACATCCACACTGGTATTCCAGGCCTCTCTCACCCAGCCTGCTCTGACAGCCTGGTCTCTCTACTTCTGCTCGCTTTCCTGCCCCCACCATTTTCCAAGCAGCAGCAGAACTGTTTTCTGAGAAATGTCAAGGGCATCCCATCAGTCCCCTTCTTAAAACTTCCCCGGCTTTCCTTCCATTGCACTTGGAATACAACCAAGCTCCATTAACCTGCCTCTTGCCCGCCTTTCTATCCCCCAACAGCTCTTTACCTCGCTGCGCTATTTTTCCTTCTGTTTGTCAAATACTGTACTTACCTTGTTGGTGTGTATTCACTGTGCATGGTACTGGGCCACACAGACATTTTCATAAAAGTCTATGGTGATGTATTTGCTTATTATTTCTGCCAAGCCTGCACCCAAGATTTTAAAAGGGTTGGCTACTTAACATTGAAGTTTTTAGATAGTCTTTTTCCTCAACATTGTAGCCCTTGGATATCACACATAGCTACGTAAACTGATTCATTCCACAAATTACTTGTCTCGGATTCAGATTTTATCGTGTTTGATGGCATCCTATATAATTTTATAAGCCTTATTTCTACTTATTTAGATCATTGTAATTATTTTATTACAAAAATAGAAACATGCCCACTTTAGGCTAGTTTACAGATTCCAGTCAAAAACAAAATTCTTTCATAATGCCAGGCAGTACCTAGACAGTTCAGTGCATATCCAACATAAATAATATTAAAGTCACTTTAAACAGGAACTTAAAATTATATGGCCTACATATGAAATGAACATCTAGTGAAATTCCCTTACATTTCGGACTCCAGGCTTTGTTATTTGTTATGGGGAGACTTTTGATCTGTACACTATAGAGGCCATCAGTGCCTCCTTTAAACTGGACCATTAGCATCTCATAGCAAGTTAACTAATTCTGTCTTTTTATAGCCCAATTATACAGATATCCAATATTATTGCAATCACTGGAGAAATTTTGATGATGTTTATGATTCCTGGGAAAGCATAAAGAATATCTTGACCTGGACAACAACTAACCAGAAGGAGATTGTTGAAGTCGCTGGACCAGGGGGTTGGAATGACCCAGACATGGTAAAGATCTGAGTCCTCCTCGTTCAAGAGCTGGTGGCTTCTTTTCTGTTGGTGCCTGGGTCTGAGAGCAGGACCTAGCACAAACCAAGCAAGGTTTTTAGCACTGACCTACGCACCTGGCCCTGGAATGAGGTTCTCCATGAGCACGTCCGTCACAGTGCTGTGGAAAATGGTTTCTCTCAGTCAACCATCTAGGAAATTTTTTAAATGTTTCGACAGGCACTGTGTAGCTGCTTGGAGTCTCGGCACTCCAGAGGCTGAAACAGGAGAGTGGCTCCAAATTCAAGGCTGAAAGGTTAGCCTGGACTATATAGTAAGACCTTATCTCCAAAAAAAGGAAACAAAGAACAACTGAGGGGGCCCCTGCAGGTATCCAGTCAGAGAAGCGAACCCACAAAGAGATGAGAATGAAGTCCCAGTGCAGATTGATTTCGTCAGCCTGTATCAGGCTTCGGAGTCTGATGCCAGGCGGTTTACTGTCAACATATTTAAGACATAGTAGAATTTGGGAAAAGGTTTCCAGGTAGTGATCACTCCAATCCTAGGTATACAATAAAGCTTATGTGTGGCTACATAGAAACTCTTACACAGCTGAGTGTGGTGGAGCACACCTTAAATCCCAGCACTTGGGAGGCAGAGGCAGGCGGACCTCTGTGAGTTCAAGGACAGCCAGGTCTACAGAGTTCCAGGACAGCCAGGGCTACACAGAGAAACCCTTTCTTGAATTCTCCCATCTCACCAAACAAAGAAACACTTACACAATACGTGTGACCATCAGGGTGGGTTCTATAGCTAAAAGGCCTAGAATCTAGTGTGGTCCCTGATAACATAGAGGTCAGCAGGACATAAAGTATGTGCGCCCTCTCCCCTAAGGATGGGTAATGGTTTAGGAGGAAAGAGTCTGGGATAATCATTCTGGGGAATTTGGGTGAGGTCTGCCTCCACAGATAACAAAGTCACCAGATTGTTATAATCCACTCCCAGCTTTCCTGGCAAGAAAGCAGGTATTTTATCTCTTCCCTTGAGAAGAGGCCCCTGTGTGTTTAATGTTTCTGGTTTTCCTTAATGCTTCAATGTGAATGCAAGGATCTCTGTGCTCTAACAAACAACAACAAAAAACCAAACATTTGAATTTTCCCTTGCCTTAATTCCTTTCTTCTTTGTTCTAGTTAGTGATTGGCAACTTTGGCCTCAGTTGGGACCAGCAGGTAACTCAGATGGCCCTCTGGGCTATCATGGCAGCGCCTCTACTCATGTCCAATGATCTCCGACAAATCAGTTCTCAAGCCAAAGCTCTACTGCAGAATGAGGATGTAATTGCCATCAACCAAGACCCCTTGGGCAAGCAGGGGTACTGTTTTAGAAAGGTAAGTAGTACTTCCTGGGAGAAAACTGACCAGGAATATACTATCCTGTCTTAAAGTTTATGATTTGTAGTATCTTACAATGACCTTTTAATACTTAAAGTACCAAATTATCTTAAACCTAACTGTGCTACATGAAGAAATGATTTTAGTTATTTTTCCCTTGAGTTTGAAAACCAGGTAATTAGAGCTATTACTGAGTTTTTCTTTTTGTTGTTTGGTTTTTCGAGATGGGTTTTCTCTGTGCAGCCCTGGCTGTCCTGGAACTGAGTGCTGGGATTAAAGGCGCTCAGGATCCCAGTGGTCTTTTTGCTTGCTTTTCAAAACAGGGTTTCTCTGTAGCCCTGGTCATCCTGGAACTCTGTAGACCAGGCTGGCCTTGAACTCAGACAGAGATCTGCCTCTGTATCCTGAGTGCTGGGATTAAAGGTGTGCACCACCACCGCCCAGCTACTTTTTAACTTCTAAAACATCCTGCTGGCTGATCTTAACTTTTCCTCCAAGTGTATGATAGACAGTTATGACAATAAGGCTGAATATCAAGTAAGGCCAGTAATGGGGTCCCCACATGCTCTCACTTCTTTTCTTGACTTTTCAGGAAGACAACATTGAGGTTTGGGAAAAACCACTCTCAAACTTAGCCTGGGCTGTAGCTGTGAGAAACCTGCAGGAAATCGGTGGACCTCGTTCTTACACCATCCAGGTTTCTTCTCTAGGTCATGGAATAGCCTGCAATCCTGGCTGCATCATCACACAGCTCCTCCCTGTGAAAGAGCAGCTAGGCTTCTATGAATGGACTTTAACCTTAAAAACGCGAATCAATCCCTCAGGCACTGTTCTGCTTCGGCTAGACTATGTCTGAAGGCAGAGATGTACATTAAATGGTCTGTGTTACTAAGGACCAAACTATTCCCTGCCTCTTTCCTGTGTTCCCTTTAATAAAGTATCTCAAAGTCATGCCCTTTAAAAGCTACTTCTCAAGGTATGTTTTTGAAAAGGCTTTTGAAATGGAAGTGGGTACTCCTGTGTCAGGAGCTGGTAACGGATACTTCAGGTGTTCTGGTTCATATTTGGCTAAGAATCCATAAAGCTGGGATTTAAAAAAAAATCTCTACATTTATGTTTTTGCCTAAACGTATGTGTTCCACATGCATGCATGATACCCAGGAAGTCAAAAGGGTATAGGGTCCTCAGGAACCAGAATAACTGTTCTTGATTATTTGGCTAGCTCTAGAGCCAGGATTTAAAGGCATGCCAACCACACGCTGACCACTAGGTGAGGCACTTGGTATGATTTGCTTACAGTTTATTGCAAAGGAAAAATGAAATCAGCTTCCTTGGTAGATTTCAAAGATATCAGGTGTGGTGCCTTTAATCCCAGTACTTGGGAGGCACTGCAAATGAAGACAATCAAATGAACTGCCCTAATGACAAATAGGTTTTCACACAGTTCCAACCAATCCATTTTTAACTACTCTCACCCAGCAATTGTGCATGTATATTAGTATACTATGCTGCCTGGAGAACTAAGCCAAATCGCCCCACTACACACCAGAAGTAGCAAAGGCATAAGACTCCTATACCCTGAAATAAGTATTTAGGATTTTATAACCAGTAACTCGTGTATTTTAAGCTGTAAGTAGTCACTAGTCACGTTTCACACCGGCTCAACAAGGTTGAGCAGCACTCAGCCAGCAAGCTGAGGGAATTTCTTGACAGCTTCAGTTTATTCCCTCCCAAAAGACCAACTGAAATCAAACAAGGCTGAGTGAAAGCTCATGATTTTATTGTCTTCATAACAAGGTCAGCTTAGAACTGGATCACTTGGCCCTGGAAACAGAACAGAAGAACAAAGTGGTGAGCTTGAAGTTTTTAAGGAACCTTCCACTATCCCTGGGCTCAGTACATAGCTCAGTAGCTGGGTGCCTGCCTACCATGGCCCTGGCTTCAATCCAAGATCACAAAACATTTCTAAGGAGACCCTGTTGCCCACACACTAAAACCCTTAAGCCATTCAGATATACTGGTGTTAGATTTTTTTCAGCTAATAAGGCACATAAAAAGCTCACAAATCTGAAAAATAAAACCTAAAAATAAAATACTTGCCAAGCGCTGATAGTGCACACCTTTAATCCCAGCCCCCGAGAGGCAGGGGCAGGCACATGAGTTTGAGGCCAGCCTGCTCTACAAAGGGAGTTACAGGACAGCTGGACCTACACAGAGAAACCCTGCCTCAAAAAAACCAAAGAACTATCCTCCTGGCAGTGGTGGTACACACCTCTAATCCCAGCACTCAGTAGTCAGAGACAGGAGGGATCTGTGTCTGAGGCCAGCCTTGTCTACAGAGCAAGTTCAGGACAAGTTCCAAAGCTACAGAGAACTCTGTATTGAAAAACCAATCCCCCCAAAAAAACTTCTGGTCCCAAGCATTTCAGATGTGGGCTATGGCACTTGTACCTTCAGCTGTGGACAATTACTGCTGAGGATGCCCTGTGGCACAGTAAGCTCAGAACAGTTTCCTCTAGGAATAAGGCTAATTTAAAAGGAGAGTACCTTTCTCTTCTTATCACCTCCCAGTTCAAAATGCTTGCATCTCTTAATAGCCAGCATCCTCTTAGATCTGCAGTTGGGCTCCACACATTCCAGTCTCAGCACAATCTTCTTTGTAGTTTTCGCCTACAAAAGAAACGAAGTAAAATCCGTCACAAAATTAGTTTGCCACGATCTGTATTTGGCCATGGAGAGGAAAAAAAATCCAGAAGTCAATCATTTTGAGTGAGAAAACTGAAGCTGGATGCAGTTGTGCACGCCCATGTTCCCATCACTTTGGAGGTGGAGACAAGCTGCAACCACATGAATTTGAGGCCAGCCTTGGCTACATGACATTGCCTCCCCTTACCCCCCCCAAAAACTAAATTTGTAGCCTTTCAGACTATTTGTATTCTTTAGTGGTTAAGTCAAATAAAAGCCAGCATTTGATGCAAATATGAAATACAACTTTTGGAATTCAATCAATTTTCTCAAGACTTCAATTAGCCCTAAAATCAGTTACACGCCCCACTAATACTCAACTTTTTTTCAATAGAGGGTTTCTCTACGTAACAGGTTGGCCTTGAACTCAGAGACCCATCTGCCTCGGCCTCCCGGGGACTGGGATTAAAGTCATGCACCACTGCCGCCTGGCTAATAATCAACTTTTAAAATACACTAATTAATTTAGTGATAGGTTTGTTGCTAGTTTGCAGTCTGAAAGCTGAAATGCCTCCCTCTCCCATACAAAATGGGCTGAACATTTAAACGAACAAGCATTCCCATTACTCGACACCCAATCCAGGACCCAAAGGAAGTCATTAATTTCTACAACCAGGCTGGCAGATTAGGAACAAAGAGATGAACAAATAAATTCAGGTTCCCTAAAGAAGGAACTTCATTAAACTGGAGAAGAATCCAGAATTCAGCCAGTGGAAGGCCTACACATGCACTGTAAGACTTCATGAGACTGAGAAATCCAGATAGCCCTTCATGGCAATACAGGGAATCGAACCTGGGTTGCCCTCAAACTCTACCACTGAGCCTCCAGCAACGAAGAGCTTAGGATTCAGAGATGGCGATAAACGAATGAACGATCTTGCTGGTATACACATAATTCACTTCTTAGGAAAGAGAGGCACATTCCTTCATTTTTTTTTGCCTCTTTAAAGGGAGATGCTATACTCTCAACTATAGTCAGATCTGGGTTGACTCCCAGCTCCATTGCCTTGGAAACATTCCTGCCGCTAAGTGGGATAACTTAGCTGCCAAACTATACTAATGCTTGTAGACTAGAGATGGCAAATGCCAAGGTCCTTACCACAATAATCAAGAAACATGTCACTTAGGAATCACTAACCTTTTTGCGGAAAATAGGCTTAGTCTGCCCACCATAGCCACTCTGTTTCCTGTCATAACGCCGCTTTCCTGGAAAAAGTTATTTGTTATGGTATGCTGTACACAGATCCTATATCATAACAGCCACAAGTAAAAGTCTTAAGTTTAAATTGAGGACGCACTGCATCCAAGGAGGGGGGAATACCTGGACTCGTTAATACTTCTCACAAGTGTCACATCATAACCAGATTATTTACATACAGGAAACAGGCACAGCCTTGAGAGGCTGAGGCAGGATTGCTTATTCCAGACCAGCTTGCTTTACATAGCTGGCCTTTATCTCCCACCAACTCCCCATCCCTGTACCCTAGCCATCATCAAATTACATATAAGCAGCTTACCCTGGGCATACAAAGAATCTTTGCCCTTCTTGTATTGTGTCACTTTGTGGGGTTGGTGCTTGCCGCATTTCTTGCAGAATGTCCGGCGGGTCTTAGGAACGTTCACCTAGTTTTTTTTTTTTTTTAAAAAAAAAAAAAGGCTTTCAGAACGTGCAGTTACCGGACCGCAATGACCCAGCACCCTCCCTGGATCCAGATGAAGCTAACTACAACAACTCACTAAAACACAACGACCACGTAGCTTTAAAAGATGGTTCAGTCACACGCGCCAAGTGTATATCCACCCGCAGCTAAACCGCCCCACCACTTCAATTCCTCCGCCCAGAACTTCGTTCCCTGTGTGTCGCTCTCGGCAATGTTAGATTTCTTAGGTACATCGAGGTCCTGACGGAGCCTTGACGGACTCTGGGACAATACTGTCCACGCCGGCTGCAAGGATTATGGTGGATACTACGAAACCCCGACACGCGATCATACCATGTTGGCGGCTGCGATTTCGGCACAGAAAGAAAGAGGCAAGGCCAGCAACGGAAGTTTATAGGCGGTGCCTGGGTACACTTCCTCAGAGCCGTGGGAGACAGCTACCATAGAGTCTGTAAGGATCCCAGCGCAGCGCCCTCGGATGGCTGGATGATTTGCCTCAGCCGCAGACAAGCGCTTCAGCCAAGGCTCCGCCTTAAGCCCGTGGCTCTTTCCTTCACTTCCTCCCGCCTAGTGCCCCTCAGCTTTCATTACTCCATCCCTTTTGGCGGAGGTTGCAATTTAGTAGCTTAAGCGAAGAAAGCAATGCTCTTCCCAGACTCCAATCTCCCGTGTTGGAGCCGACCAGGGTCTAGGATCAAGTGGAGGGGTCTTCCATCTCAGCCTAACATTCTTGTTCCACTTCAAGGAAACTGAAACGATCTTAACCAGCAAAATGTGACTCACGGAAGCCCTGGGAGGGAGCCAGTCACTTCAACTCATTTATTTAATGTCTCTTCTGTTTCAGGCACTGTTATAGGAGCAGGACATAGTAATTGATACTGTCCAATCTCAGGCTAAGTACTTTGAAGAAAGAAAAAAAAAATCCAATGAAAGCAGTACCTTTTAGCTGAGGAAGTAAATTGGCTGATCTTAGTTATGAAAACTAGCAATGAATTTATCTGGCTTCTGAGATAGTTGGGCCAACCAAGAAAACATACCTCAGCTTCCCTGAGTACTTGGCAGCAGACATGTATGAAGTTTCAAGTTAGTCCAACTGAGAAAGGCTGAAGGAAGCTAGCTGAGTTTTAAAATAGATTCTCAGAGTGAGTCTAGGAGGAACGTGGTAATGCTACTTCCATTTTCCAGGGGGGAGGGCATTCATCCCGTGGCATGTGAAGGCTTTGGTCCGCTGTCATCAGTAGTAGCAGCACACCTCACCCCCATGCGTTCTATGATTCCAGAACTCTATTTCCTTTACTATCGCATGATACTATAATATGATTATATAATATATGGCCTGCCTATTATACCAGCTATCTTTGGGGTGGGGAGAGCCTCAGAAATCCCAGGGTGACCTTAAACTCACCTATGTAGCTAAAGATGGCTGTGAACTTCTGATCCTTATCCTGAGTGGTGGGGGCCACATGTATGTGCTATGTGCCACTGTGTCTGGATGCCTGCCAATCTTCAGGAGCTGTTTCCTATGACTAGTATTTACCAAATGAGGAAACTGATTTA